AAACCACCGGATGATCTTGAGAACCAAGTGAAAGGAGCTGTGGAGGAAGTTCTTATTGATGTAGGGGACGATATACGAAATATCGATCTTACGAAGAATCGGCGCTTAAAATTTCAGGTTTGCTGTGCTTTTTGTTTTGCTTGGTGACTTTTTTTATATAAAAATCTTGATCAAATCACTGAGGGACGCAATATTTTATCGGACGATAAAAATTACAAAGCCAAAAATCACAACAGCAAGATAGAGTCGGATTACAGAGCAAGAAATCAGTCAAGCTGCGACAATACCAGTATAATCTCAGTATTCCTTTCGGCTTTATATTGTTTCAGCTTCTCAATTTGCTAGGTGAAAGACTGTGTCATGTAGTTCCCAATTCCGAATTACATAAAATGAAAACAGTTGGCGATTTAATCAACTTCTACGGACGTCCGTTTCGAAATCTTACCGAATATGCACAGATGGCTCGTGACAACAAACAGACGTTACCAAAGAACTTGCATGTTATGGAACATCCATTCCGTTTTCATCCGGAAGATACCCATTCTTATCATGGAGGTGAACAATTGCATCTTTATATGAAAATATGCGCGTGTTTTTTTTTTTTCCAGATATGTAACTAATACCGGAGCATCTAATGACTTTCGAAGCATAATTCTATGTTAGCTACTTCTTTTTTATTTGTATAAAAATTGTCAAATTGAATGAGAATAAAAAAGAGTACACATTCGATATAGTGTAATAGATGGATATAAATTTATATTACGTAATAAATCCATAATCATGACATATAGGTTCTTACCGAATATGCACAGGAAAAAAATGCAAACTTTTTTTTTCAAATGCAAACTTGAAGGTTTTCTAATGTGCAAACTTTACGTTAAATTCCTCTATTCTATTCACTACAATGATCTCGCTAGAATTATTTCCACTATTATTGAATCTGTACAATTCGGGGAAAATGTTTCAGATTTATTTTACTTTAGATGTACTTTGGCATACTACTTTTCTTTAGATGTACTTTGGCATACTACTACTTTAGCATCCTTACTAATTACAGGTGAAACAGCTTTTCCCGGGAAGGGAGGTGAAGTATTCAGTTTACGAAACAAGAGATTATATCGGCAATTTAAACCGAAAAAGGATTGGTTCGATTTTGAAGAGGAATCATTTGATTACACCCGTCAAGACGAAGGAATGCCTTGGGATCCAGAAATAGCAGAACGTATGGATCGGTATCCAACGAAAAGGTACAATTTGAAAACAAAAAGATTCAAGAACACGTGACTGATGGACTATTTTTAGTGATTTTGAATGAAATGAGTATGTTTGTCTTTTACAATAAAACTAGACGATATTTCATGCTCTAATTGCAAATTTTTCTGATCCCTCATATTTGCTTCCGATTTTTCCCATGCCGAAAAACGAAATAAATTTCCTTCTCGATTTTGTTCTTGAACATCCTCATTCGCAGAAAAACTATTCATAATATTATAATACAGTTTATGTGTCGCTACAAATCTCGGTATTTCTTTTGAATCCAGAAGTTATAAAATCTTTTTTTTGGTGGGTGGACGTATCAGTCATGTGTATTAAATGAAGAAATCATAGTCAATTTTGTCGTAAACGAATGTGTTTACGGATTAGAAGTTATTCTTGGATGGAACATTTTTGAATACACGCTAAATCCTTCAAAGAGATCCTGAAATAATATTTTTATTAAATGGAAGTATAAAATCCAATCAATGTTTCCGTGCTGCATGTTAGATCGTATTTTTGTAAATCGTTGAAGGAATGATACTTAATTTTTCATTTCTAATACACCATACAGTACATATTAGACGCACACTACACAGCAGGAATTTCCTTGAAATAACTTTATTGATAAATCAGTAAGGTTCAATGAAATACACTGTGATAATCACTCTTTTCTAGCTCCATTCCATGTAGGTGATAAGGGTTTCAGTAAAACTTCATGTTGAGCTCTCAAATCCTGAAATAAATAGGATAAAAACAGTGAGTTATTGACTAGTCAGAGCTTATCTGGAATTTTTATTATTTGAAATTTTATCATTATCTGAAAATTTTATCATTACTTGAAATCTTTCTGTAATTTTGATTATTCTATTTAAAATTGAACTCATAAAAATCACTGTCATCCAGGCCTTCGTTATCTTATGACTATAAAATAACTATTAAAAAGTGGAATGGAAGAAACAACGTATGAATTTTTCAATATCAAAAATGGAAGGAAATGTGGACTTAGCTGGCTTCTAAGTGTCTGTTGAAAAGTCAAATTCGCAGCTGTAACTTGGAATAATGTTTTGACATAATTTCATGAGAGCAGCTAAACCATCACACTGTCATAAATTGATGAATATCTATTCATGACTCACAACAGTGAATGTAAAAAAAGAGAAAGTAATAAGGAAATATTAAGTGATAAAGGTTGCTAATAATTATTATTAATTAGACCAAATAAATATAATTTGATTGTACAGGACCACTTGTGTCACTGATTTTTAAATACTTTATCTCAATTCAGCCAAGCTATTTTATTCAAAAGAAGGGCATCATATTATCAAAACAAATAGAGCTTTGATGTCTACCATAGTCATATAAAGGCATTCAGTTAAAAGGTGTGGTACCAACTACCGACTAAAAAGTTCAAGGCAAGTTTTATCCTTTGACAGTCAATAAGTTTAACCATCGCTTCAAGAGATCCACGAAGAGAAATGCCATGGTATTTGAAACATACCAAGGAATCCTCGTTTTTTATTTAAATTGTTTTGACGTAATTTGCAAAAGTACTTGAAATGCAGTTTGATGTAGCTCATCATTTCAACTCGACAAACTAAAAAAATTTAATTTCAAAAGGAAGCTGCAAACTTTCCAAATGGAAAGGGAACGTTTTGACACTGTTCTACGAAAAAAGCTAAGCTAGAATAATCAAAATGCATTCTTTCCATATTCTCCTAAAAAGAAAAAAAGACACATCTGCTTATTTGTACACTCAAATATCATATATAAGCAATTAACTTGCAGGTAAATTCATCTTCAATCCTCATATCTCCATTTACTTTTTCAAACTCACCTCACTTAGCAAAGTTAGGTTTCTTTTTGCCAAACTAGCCTTTTTTTTTCGAAAAAATAATTCAGCTAATTTGACAGAAAAGAAAAGAAAGAAGTGAGATATAAATAAGTAGATAATAAAATAATAATTTGTAATAACATACGTAATTAACATAATGTGTCCGCTTACTAGTTGAATCACTACTTAAAATTGATTTGCAATA